CTCCATGGCGATATTTATTTTTCCACTGCTCGAATTTTCTGAATTGGTGTGATCGCTCCAAGTTCCTTTTATGCACTAATAAGGGGCCAAGTATTGTATCGTAATTATATATAGGCACATTCAGAATTAAGTGGGATGTAGGTTAATCACTCGCCAATTAATACACGATACCTTCTTCACGCAATTCTTCTATTATCGATATTATCTCATTATCGTGACCGGTGTGACCAGCCATTTTAGAACTCCACAATAATCGCAGGCGGTCCACCAATTCTTTGATATCATTCCAATAAACATACTCTTTTCGCTGTTTGCCTGCGAGTTTATCAGAGGGTAATGTTGGTTGCAATATACTTCCTCCCCCTTTTTCACCATGGTGTAATTGTTGATTCCTCATTTTATATGGTGTGCCTATCAGTGGTTTGATCACCTGCTGATATTTCTTCTTGGATTGTGTGCTATCATTTAACCCTTCCCTAATATCATAGTTCCTATATGGTGTCCTTGTATTCTCCAATAGGGCTGCGTATAAACGTTTATCTTGATCGTTAATGGATCTTGGCACATGTTTCATAAAAATCAAATTATATAGCTCAATGGTGGCCGGAAAAACCTTGGTTCGCTTATTTTCGCGCCATAATTCAATTTGACCTGCGGGAAAATGAATGTCCATGTTGCCCATCGTCAATTTTCCCGTTTGTTCATCAATATAAACACCATATGTGGTGTCATAATTAGGATCATGGGATACCAAATTATCTATATGTTTTTTCAATTGCACCTGTAGCTCGCTTGTGATTGTTTCGTCTACTGCTGTAGCAGCATCACTCTTGGAAATATGAGAAGAAGATGATGATGGCGGTGTTTCCAGTCCCGTTATAAATTTGGGCTGGCTATGCGATGTCAAAGAATCATTTCCACTGAAACTCTCCCGCGTCATGAGTTTTCTAGGAATCTTGGTGGTAGTAGTAGTAGTGGTGCCGATTCCCCCATTTTCTGATACCGGTGTGGAATGATATGTAGGATGTGCTATTATTGATGTTGAAGGTTTCTTGTTTTTCCCTGTTGTGGATGTGGTAGTAGTGATTTGAGATTGATTTCTCGCTGCGGCTGCTGAAATAGCATTCAATGGCTTCGTCAATGGTTCATACACTCTCTCCAATGCCGTTTGGTTATCAATACGTTCGTTCTTGAGACTCTTGAACTTTTTTCTCACTGCAGCAGTCGCTTCAACAAGTTGCTGTTTGAGATTTATCTCAGAAGTCATCGTGCTTTTCTGTTCACTAGATGCGGCCATTGTGGTATCTGAAGATTGAATGAATCATGCTGCACCAACATACTAGAGATATATAAAGCTATCGAATCCTTTCCTATAACGCCCCTCATGTATTTCACTGTCCTTATCGATAACGAGAAACCCGTATCTATCCGTCCAACTCTGCGCGCACATATCTTGGAATTGTTTGAAAGTCACATCTGGCGATACGTGATCGGAAAAAATATGATGTAAATTCATGTCATCTTGTTTGAACATCACTATGAAGTTCGAATTGTCACGCAATAATTGCTTCCCAACTTTGGAATAACTCTGTGCCAGGAAGAAACAATCCACATTTTTGTGACGCCCCATTGGGAAATAAGATCTGATAACATCCTGTTTTTCACATATAACATCATCGAATATGAAAATGCTGTCAGGTTTCGCATCTGCCGGTTCAACTATGTCCACATTATTATCATACGTGTAAAATCCTAACCCTTTAATCGGTTCCATCACTTTTCGCAAGTACTCATACTTTGGTTGGTATAGTGATTTCGAATAGATATAAATATTGGCAAAACGTAAACCATTTTCATTGGTCAGAAGTGAAATCATAACATTGGTTTTCCCGCAATTCGATGGGCCAATTATCAGACCGCGAATAGTATTTGGGAAAAGGGCCCCATGTCGACGATTGGTATCAATACCTAACCCTATTTTTTCATCAAAATTGGCTACACTGAACGTTTCCTTTTGCTGAACAATCCGCATTGTGCGGTGGTTGAAAGATATATAAAGAAGCGCTAGCGTTGTGAAGCTCATTTATATTATGAAAGTGAAACGTAGCACATCGAAAACGAAGAAAGGAAAGAAAAGGGGTAGAGACTGATCAATAAATTACCGTTTGAATTGCATATTCCTGGTGGTTATCAATATTGTGGACCTGGAACGAAGTTACAAAAAAGGTTAGCTCGCGGTGATCCTGGAATAAATCAATTGGATAGAGCCTGCAAGGAACACGATATTGCGTATCTTAAGAATACAACCGATTTATCTGCTAGGCATTCAGCAGATAAAAAATTAGAGGAAGCCGCGTGGGAGAGAGTAAAATCAAAAGACGCTAATCTAGGAGAGAAGAGTGCATCCTGGTTAGTTACCAATATAATGAAGGAAAAGAGGCGCTTTGGTATGGGGTGTAATAATGGAGTGAAGAACCGACGAGTATCGAGAAGGAAGAGGAAGAATAAAGGGAAAAAAAAGTGTAGAAAAATTGCTTTCGGATCGGGTGTAGTTCAAAAAGTTCGCCGAGCACTACGTCAAATGGGGAATAAGAGAAAACTCACCAAAAACTTGACTAAAACATCACTAATGGCGATCGACGCTGCTCGAAAATTTGTAAAGATGGCTGGCGGAAAAAAAAATATCAAAACACCCCGAATCATACCTATCCCAAAAGTTGGCGGAATTCTTCCGCTCATACCCATTTTTGCCGGTTTATCAGCATTGGGGAGTCTGGCTGCGGGTAGTGCCGGTATAGCTCGAGCTATTCATTCAGCTAAAGAGAGTAAGGAGCAGCTGGCTGAGGCAAACCGTCACAATAAGCATATGGAGGCGATCGCTCTCGGAAAAGTCGGCAGAGGAGTCTATTTGAAACCATATCGGAAAGGGATGGGTATTTATCTCAAGCCCCCGCATTCAAAAAACTAGCCAAGTTACCTCGGAGAGCTCTTACAGACATTGATCTATTGCATTATATAGATAAAATGGCGGTGCCGCACTTTCGAGTTATTTTCATGAGAGATAATCTGCCCAACTCTGGCCCACATCGCATAGAATCAGCAATACTGAATCTCGATAGTATTCGCGGTGATGGTACACATTGGGTTGCATATAAGAAGAGAAATGGGATAGTTGAATATTACGATAGCTATGGGGATTTGCCGCCTCCTGAGGAGTTGTTAGAATATTTAAGGAAAGGATCGAAGTCGGTTAAAGCCATCAAAATCAAGTATAACTATGAGCGCCAGCAGGATTTCAACACAGTCTGGTGTGGTCACCTGTGCTTGAAATTTCTTTCAGCCAACAGTGGCATCAGTGAAATAAAAGTTGCACAACATGGATAGGCAGAGTATCAAGCGGATGGGACATGCATTATTGGCTTTTTCAAGATTACGCTCCTTACTGGAAATGAGTGAGAAACAGTTGGCTGATATGCCGAAAGAAGTACTCATCGGGTTGGCATCACATGAGATAGCTATAGTGTGGGATAAGTTACCGGAACAATTACAAAACGATCCGGATATAGCCAAATACCGATTTTGTGAAGAACATTATGGTGGAGAGCAGGAGGAGGGTGGCCAACATGCCAACATCGATGTGAATGATGGACCAGCGCCAAGAAAAATATTATGTTGTTTTTGTCAAGTGAAAGATGTAAATGTGGCAACTAATAATAAATTTGATATTAATTCTTCGCCTACCGAAAACCCGGGCATTCTTCATTGTTGCAGGCAGCAATAAGGTTGATGCTCTTAACGCTGCTACTGTATATATTGACGTTTGTTTTTGGTTTTCGCTGTTTTGTTTGTTTTCTCCATTCATGAGAAGTTATGTCGCAAACATTTACCATTTCTGGAGATCGTAGTATCCTGAGTGCAGACTTTTTTCCACCAATTGAGCTCGATGTGAGGAATACTTACGGTTTGGGGTTACACGGGTTCTATTCATACAACTCTATACTCAATATAGATGAGACAAATAACAAATTAGTTGTTTGGTATGAAGGGGAAAGCTTTCTTGTTGAAATACCACCAGGCGCCTATGAAATAGAAGAAATCAATAGAGCAATACAAAAGGCTATAGAAAGAGGGATTCCGCTAAATGGGCGAAATATTGATGATGTGTTCTCTCTTCGTGCCAACAATAATACGCTCAAATGTGAACTCAAGTCCGAATTCATGATAAGTCTAGATATTGCTACTTCTATAGCCAAAGTGTTGGGTTTTAAATCGGGATTTTACCGGCCCAATATTTTGCATGAATCCACTTTACCTGTGAACATCATAAAGGTACGATTGATACGGGTTGATTGTAATATCACCACTGGAGCATACCTCAATGGTGAGGAGGTTCACACGCTTTACGAGTTCGACGTCGACGTGGAGCCAGGATACAAACTTTCAAAGGAGCCGAAAAATATAATATATCTACCAATCAGTCCGACAGGGCGTCAGTCTATCGACAACATCACACTGAGAATTTTGGATGATAACGATCATTTAGTCGACTTCCGAGGAGAGAAGATTATAGTGAAGTTGGAATTGAAACAGCTAAATTAAATTTTGTACGTCGATTTGGAAGATGGGCTTCTGCTTTGGAAACCAATCAAAACGTGTATCGCTCGCTACTCACCCCACTATTCTGCACATTACCAATAAGAAGAAGTGTAAACGTGGGAAAGGATTCAGTCAAGGGCAAATCACCGGTCGAGGAAGACATCATAAGCTTTCTGCGAGCGACCTAAATTTTTTGAAGTCTATTGGGTTGAGAGTAAAACGACGAAGGATCAGAAATAAGTGAACGATGGTTGCCACAAGTTCTACTAGTTCACAATTGGAAGTGTTTGATGAACCAATTTTTGATCATTCACTAATTAGCCTACATGAGCATACATACAAACCATATGGTTCTCCATCATTCAAGAATTCCGATGAAATTAGGATTGCTGTCAATTTTCAAGATTTGATACTGGATATTGCTGAAAGCTACATTTATATCGAGGGAAAATTCATCCCGAACGATTTAGCAAAAACCTGCCATCTGTCCAATAATGCGCTCGCATTTCTGTTCGATGAAATCCGTTATGAAATGGGTGGCGAACAGGTGTGTTTGATTCGAAAACCGGGCATTACCACTACAATGAAAAGTATGATATCTTATGGTGAGACAAGCACCAAATTTTTAGACACGGTTGGATGGGGTCTCGATGAAAATAAACAGGTGATTCTAGATACACCCAGTCATACATTCAGCGGAAAACTACCGCTTAAATTTTTAATGGGGTTTGCAGAGGACTATAATAAAGGAATTCTGAATATAAAGCAGGAGCTTATACTCATCATAGCACGCTCATTCAAAAACTCCTATATGGGGGAAGTTGATGCGAATGTGACGATCAACAAAATCGAATGGAAGATAAGGCATGTGATGCCGTCCGATAGGCAGAAATTGAAGTTGTTGAATCGATTGAATAAAAGTTCTACAGCAAAAATCAAGTTAGCATACAGGATGTGTGATTTGTATGAGTTACCGGCCATTCGTGAAACAGCTTCAGATATTTGGGCTATCAAAACAACTAGTAGCCTCGAGCGCCCGCGATACATCATTATCGGTTTTCAAAGCTCCGATAATACAGATGATAGATCCAAGGACGCTACGAAATTCATTCACGCAGGAGTGAATAATATTCGCCTTTACTTGAATTCAGAAGTTTACCCATATGAGCGCTGGAATTTGGATTTCGACAGAAAGTTAGATGCTGTGGCTTTCTATGCATACGAAAATTTCCAACGTAGTTACTATGGCAAAGATATGGGTGAACCAATGATGAGTATTGAGGAGTTCCGAAAAAATCCGTTATTCATCATCGACTGCTACCACCAACCCGATGCGATGAAAACTTCTACTGTCGACATCAAATTGGAGTTTGAAACCCGCGAAACGAAGTTTCCACCAAACACAAAGGTTTACGCACTTATTCTTCATGACGCATATCTGACATATAGCGCATTAGATGGTTCCATACAGATGGGTGCTCCTTGAATACGATAGATGCGGATCCACTCCTCACTGACACCGCCACCGTCATCACATTAGTTATTAGATCTCTCTTCATGAAATTTATCATTACTCAATCTACTCGATATTGTTATTCATTGTGATCAATAAAATACAAATGTACTAAAAACTATTGTTTTATTTTTACATCAAAATATTATCGGCATTACACATTACGCGAAAATGCTATATAGATGCCCAATTCACCCCCTTCGTCCTCCTTCATCTTCAGTGTCTGGAGTCACCCCCAAGTGGTATTTCCGAATCAGGCTGTTTGGTAGCAAATCGAAGATTTCATAAAGAAATTGTTCCAAGTCTTCTTCAACCATTGCTTCAAGGAATTGCTCCAAAGTAATGTTGCTGTATTCATAGCGGGCACATAGTAGAAATCCAATTTTATATTTTTCAGCTTGTTTGAGGAGGCGCTGAACTTGTACTTGATCGAAGCATACACTCATATCATAATTCCCCGCATGTAGTGTATCACGCTCCAAATCCATGAATCGACATTTCAACCTCCTCACAGCTGATCTGATATCTTCCGCCGTAGGCCAAAACTGACTAGAATAATTCATACACATTTCGGGAACGTGTGCTGCACAAGAGTGATCAATTCTGTAAATAAACAAAACATTCAGGTAATGGATCACGGTGGAAAAAATGTAATGCTCGATTCCAATGTATGTAGCCAATATAACACTCACCAAAAAAAGTATCGAAATCAATGATGATTAGCGATAAAGTGATGATGTTAATGTGAGAATTATTATATAATTTTTAAACCTTTTTCACTACACTATATCGAAAAACTAATTGAGGAAATATGAAACTATTTGTCAATTACACCCCCCTTGACATCAAACTTGATGAGAGCCCGCGTCTTTGCACCTGCAAATGAAGGTTCACTCTGACCCAAGTACGTTAAAGTATAAACGCCGTTAGAAAAATTGATCTCATCAACATCGCTTTTTTTCAAAAGGTCTACAACTCTTTTTGGTAACCAACATTTTAAGCTCACCTCAGTTTCTTCATCGTACAATATAACGGTGCCACTTCTACCGAATCGAGTCCCACATAACGATATTTTCCTGATTATAAAACTCTTATTCAGTGGTAGCGACGATATTAGAATTTGTTTAATAATTTCATTTTCCTCATTAATTCGACTATTGATTGCGACTAGATCAATTTTAGGAGGAGCCATTTCTATTTTTACTTGTCGAGTGAAAGAAGGAATAAAAAATATATAAATAATTGAACTTACGTAAATCTGATATCACACTTTATCGCACTTCCACTGATCTGACAAGATTGTTCAGCCAGCAGTATTTTCGGAATAACTATGCACTTGAAGATGGGGATTCTGTATTTATAGAAACTCGGACATGGAATACCCCACTACACCACCAAACATCCTTGAGAAGAGGTACAAATGCGCACGAAAATTACTCCCCCCAAGGTCACCACGACAATTGTCCGAGATGAAACCTCCGTATCCCTCCCAAGGCCACTCCCAAGGTCACTCCCAAGGTCACTCCCAAGGTCACTCCCAAGGCCACTCCCAAGGTCACTCCCAAGGTCGCTCCGAATGTCACTCCTCCAAGGCCACCCCCCAAGGTAACTCCCCCCAAGGTCACTCCCCCCAAGGTCACACTCCTCTGGCCTTGGGGGGAGATTTGAAAATGGCTAAAGCCCTCTACTCATATCTATTTTAGTTTTACAATTTCAACAATTTTTTCGCGATTAGACGAATTATTTAATTTTTTGATTTCATAATCACATTGAAACACATTTTTCCAGCAAAAGTAACACATCATTTCTGACAATCAAGTGCTGATACTCCCATATCCCATGAGTCTTTTTTTCTTACATCCACTGCCTAACTGCATTTCAGTGAAAATATCTTGACTGTTTTTAGATTCATTCCAGAAAAACTTGATTATAATATTTCAAGATTAATTCTAGAACTCATGGGGCCCATGTATAGCACAAGGTTAGTTGCTTAGTTACATTTTAGTTGCTCAGTTACATTTATAGAAAATTTACTTTTGAGGTTTTAATTTAAACTATAGGTAGGTACACAAAATATGAAACCATCTCATCAATAGACTTTGGCCTTGGTGCCGAGAATGTGTGAAAATCATAATTATGTTGTATGTGACACAAATGGATGAAATGAAAGAATTTAATGCCCAATTGATCAATTGTATCATATAAGACATCAATGGAACAAACCGGAACAAACACCTGACACAATAGCGATTTGTCAGTATTCTCTATATATTAGCATTAACACTTTTCACCAAGATTCTTTTTGATATCTTAGTAACCTACCTTGCCAACTTCATGTGTGCATCCATATGCCATAGAGCATTTGGAGTTGAAACTTTATAAACCCTTCTTTTAATAGTAGAACTCCACCTACTAGCTGTTCCTAGAGGGTCAACATCTGCTAACATTGTTCTCACCCGTTTTCTTGGTACTGTAATTCCCTCAGTCTTGAGGTATCCATCCATCATCTACAAAGTTATTAATTTGATTACTACTCACTATCGTATGTTTCCCTATCCATCCTATCAGTAATTCAAGAAATTAATATTGAAACTCTCACCACACTTCCACAGTTGGGATGTTTCTCCAGTAAATGTTTTATTACATTCCTCAGTTCTACATCTCCTATGTCAACATATTTATCCCTGAATTTAAAGTTCTCTTCCTTGCACTTTTTATATACTGTAGATATACTGCACTTGAAAGTGCCTTGCCATTTTTCTTGCTGTGAATCCATGTGAAAGAAACAATTTCAGTTGATCACGAGTAATAATTAATGCAGGCCGTCCTGGACCTCAAAGTAACGGAATAATTTTATTACACTGTGATGATGTATTAGTTAGTATGTATATTTTTGGGAATTGTTAGAAATGTATTCAAAACTATTTCAAGGAATCAAAAGAATACTAGAAATTTGCTGAATAAATCTTAAAAACTGATTTAACACCAAATTGACAGAAGTTATTTTGGACCAATTTGGACGGCCGCCATTTTGGTGATTGTAAGAACAAGCAAATTTGGGATTTGGATTGAAAAAGAGAGGGGAATTTCACTTCTCTGATAATGATAGTTTCTTCTGTGGTCTTTATCATTGACTAGCTTCACCATAATTTTCTCACATAAACTTTGGTGAAAATCGATATTGCTCAAGATGAATTAAACTTACCATCAATATGACATTCTGAGGAGTATCTAAAATCACTGCCAGTTGCAATTTCGCAGGTATTTTGGAGTTTACCAATGCAAATTTTTGTGAGTCCTTGAATACTACCTACTGTCTATGATTCGAAATCTATCTGTATGAATATATGGCTGTATTCTATTTAAATTGATTCTACATCTGCTGAGTAGATTGTTGGCAGTGTTGAAATCCTCATTTTCTATTAAAGGTCCACATTGCTGCAGACAACCCCTAATGCGTCTCAGTGTCAACTCAGAATGAGTGGACATTAGTATGAGTATTCAGTATGCTCGTGCTCGTTATCAGCACGATCAGTTTGTATCGGTGGTAACTATTCGACGCAACGACAATGCAATAACTGCAAACTGCAATAACAATAAAAATCAAAGAAGTGTATTTTATCCAACAACTTGTTCTTGTATCTATGATCAGAATCGAAACAAACACAACACTACACTCACTCACTCAGTCACAGCTCAGTATTGTTCCAAATGGTTCAAAGTAGATTATTCAGGCGTGCCAACTCGGTTATGTTTATGGTACCAAATTACTTGACTTGACAATTGACATTGACGATCATCCACTTGCTAACCACAGAATTATATACCAACCACACTGATCTCAATATAGATCAGTGACATAGCCGCATAGAAATCATTTTATATATATAGACTCTACATAATATGATTTCTATGATTCTATGATCAGTGGGCAAGAACGATGAAACCATGATAAAACAGATTCATCATTGTTGACAAATTGTCTAAGCCGTAAAACAAATTTTCCAGGAACACGACCCACATTTTTCAGTGCCAGATTGATAAAAGAATTACCAGAGTCCAGAGTACCAACTGTATTTATAAAGAGTCAAATCTGGTACCAAAGTGCCAACTTGAACAACACTGACTACACTAACACAGTATAATGCTTTTATAGATCCAGTAGTTTCACTTGCTGTCGGCACCTTTGATCTTTGTTACCTTATTTTTTCCACGCGCATGGGTCCACGCGCACGTTGTTGCCTATACCTCTAATGTTTTGATGTAGGATGGACACATATTTTAAAATACACTGGTTAACAAAAATGTCTATTTTCTGTTCTTGAAGATTGTTTTAGATTGTTTCTGAAACTTGCATTACAGAATTTCCAATATTTTTCATCAGATATGAATCATAACCTCACCGAATCTTGTCACTTTTCGTGAAATGAATTCAAAATTAGACACTTGTCAAACTTTTTTTACTGCGCATCCGAAATATTTGACCACGCGCACGTGTGGAAATAATCCTGGAACTGTGGAACTAACACAACTGGTATACTGGTAATCTACAGTTCTTTATAACTGTAACTGTACACTAGTCACTAATCAACTATTATGCCCATATACTTGATAAACATATACAGATAGTCTCTATTCTTTTCTGTATCCAAAAATGAAGCCGATTTTGAAGAACAAAAAATGACAATCCATAAGCGACGAGTGGTATAATATTGTATATTATGAATTTGAATATGACAATTCGATCTAAGAATCTGACAGTACTCAATACAAGATGGAGTCGATGTTCACAGTTTGAGAATGAAAGCCACACATAAATAATGAAGTTTTATGATATACAAAGTCCTATCAGGGACTTTCATGGACTAGGAAACGTGCTATGAGCTTACCAGCATTTTATTTCTATTATTCCAGAAACAATATAAATATGTCCGCAAAACGTAATCAATAACAATACACTGAGAGAAAACTTGAGTTATAATAATTGGAAATCTGATAACCGTTATTACGATATCTGCAATAAATAGGGGACAGATGTGTTCATTTGCTACCATAGATGAAGTGAATTCTCAGGTGACTTGTAGTTATGGCAGCTTATTCGATTTGCAAACTTGTATAAAACACCGCTGCTGAATAACTACTACTTGTTCTAGTTTCTATGATAACACAGAATGTCGAATAGGAATTATTCCCATGAAATGTTGCAGTAACTCTCCACTCTACAGTGGTTATTAGACTATCGACATAAAACAGCATGTTTCTATTACTGGCACAACCATCTTGAGGTAACGCAGTTATACGTCTCATTTTATTATAGTTATCTGATATCTGCATGAAACCTGACATTTTGACATGCTATTGTAATATAGCTCATTTTCAACAGTTATCCCAATATTTTTCTACTCTAGTATATTCATCGAACAGTGGTAATAAGGTTATCTAATCAACATTATTCGATGGTATGCATTATGAAACCGTGCTTTGAATTACTGCAATGAAAATAAATATCCTATCCACACTATTACTTTTCATGATCCAAAGTTATTCTTTTCAAAAAAAACAAAAAAATACGTTTTAGTCTATGAATCGAAATATTTGGGTATCTGTCGAAGTTTTTTGACATTACTCATTGATTTTTTCGGAAAGATATCATCTAGGTATATGCATTACTGACAAATTTATTGAGAAATGAGAAGTTGAATACTTATATTTACCCTTCCTTCGGAGTTCTGATGAGAATTGCCAATAAAACTTCCCTCACAGAAACCCAGATATTTTGATTCAGAATCTCATCGATCATTTTGTTTTTGAAATAAACCAATTTTAGGCCGTGAAAAGTGGGTATGGAGAATACTTTTTTCATTGCAATAATTCAATGCGTGTATTCCACACATCGGTTCACAGCCAGCACTAAAACAATAAAACTTTGCTACATCACACACATTCACCTACAAGACACGGCTCTATCGATTCGGACGATCGAAACCATTGAACAATAATTGAACACGGGCACCCATCACCGAGAACAGCAGTGAAATGAAAAATTAACGCGATCTGCATCTTTGTCAGCCCCAAAACTAATGAAAAACTAGGGCGAAATGAGCCGAATTACGATTGTCGAATGATTGCCTAATAACCGTCATACATGTGAATTGCTAGAGCTATTCGTCTACGTACAATGCTAGAAACCCAAACAGCTATGATTATTGGGACAAACATTATCTGAATTCACCAATGAGCATAATAATTCACAAAACGAGCTATGTCAATAAAAAATCTAAATAGACTGGAATTTATACAATTCTCACAATGTCATAACACACCTGCGTTATGATGGTAGCAAATGTCCATTCAAGGGTATTACGAATGATTTAAGAAATCGATTTTTATAATTACAGAATGGAGAGAATACTGTTGTAATAATAAAATGATCAGGAATTGGAGATTTTCTTATAATGGTTATTACAATCAGAGCTCGTAGATATTTTTAATATCCAGTTTCTCTCAGTGTAAAATGTGATTAACTGTGTAATCAATAATAAACATACTCCTTTGGATGAGAGACGAGAAGACGCTATCGAAAGGTGGTATTCATGTCTTTGATAACTACCATTTTCACGCATGCATGCGCAGTATACACTCGTCGCTTATGGATAGTCATTTGTCCTTTATTTTTGGCTTCACTTTAGCACACATTAAAATCCATATAGATCATTAATAAATATATACTGGCGACTAGGGGTACCAGGAGGCTGTGGCTTCCGCATGCGCATAACGTCGACTGGCGATGTTACCACTGCCAGGCTGTATCTTCGGCATGCACATAATGTCGGACGGTGATGCGCGACAAAAAAATTAAATGCATTTTTAGGGTGCAAGAGATGTATAATAATCTACAGTTCAAGGATATTTTTCCTTCCATAGCCTTCGCGCACTTTGCAAACCACATCCATTAATTTTTAGTTACCTATTAAATTTTTTACATCACCAACTAATTAGAGTCTAGTGGCTGTCCTAATCGATGTGCTACGAATCAGCAATCATCCTTGTGCGCGCGTATCGCGTTTCAATTGACAGTTCCAGTTGATCTGTTTTGATTTGATTTTAATTAAAATACATGAATTCTGTCAAATTCGACTTAAGTAGAGTTTGGTAGGGTAGAGGAGAGCCTAGGTTAGATCGTTGGTTCAAGGTATGGTACAAAAACGAGGATAAACGGCCCGTGTGACACTTATTATAATTTTATATAGAATTTTATAGATATATAATCTTATGTTGAATTTGATTTCATGTGTCATACAGCATTCTGATGTAAATTTTTACATAGAAATTCATATAATATCCAGAAATAGAACATGTTCTATTTTCATAAAATATGAAGTATAATTTTATCCATAAAACGTGCGTTGAAGAACTAACGTTTACTCAATGCCAAACCAATAAAAACTGCTGCGGCTGCGGCAAAAGTAGCTCATAATAATAGACTATTTGTTGTTGTTATTATCTTCATTGCATGTTGGTATTGTTTATTAATAAAAGGAATTTGATAATTCAGCTGTCAGTTTTTTGCATGACTGCATGACCAATGAAAACACAAGACTGTGACATATTGAGAAGGAAAGTATTGAAAAAAGATGTATAGAAATTCAACTGGTGGGCTCACTCTTCAATTGTTTCGTCAGACTATTGCTCGATGGAAACAGTTGAAAGCAAGATTTCGACGTGGGTTTCGCGTATCCTACGGTAGAGGCGCGGGCATCGAAAAGTCGTTCCAAAACGTAGTTTTGTGGACCAATACCAATGACTCCTGTCGAGTTGTATTCGTATTCAACGATTTGAATTCGAGGATTCGTACGAAATGTAAAAATGAAGTGTTGGATCTTGTAAAATTGTTGTTGTTTGTTTGACACTTGACTTCAAATGTATCCGTCGGTAATGTTTCCTGTAAATTTGGTTCATCACCAGGATGAACTTGAACTTAGCGAGATTTATTCACGTTAAGCATGTTTATCAGAGTAGGCGCCATCGAGCGAATTTGAAACGGCCTTCAATAGGAAGTAAGCACACTAGTTAAATTTCTATACATCTCTATTGAAAACTTCTCAAATTCTATCTGAGTGTCAGATAAGACACAAAACCAACACAAAACAATATAAAATTTTATATACATATTCTGCACTGACAAATTTGATATTAAATCTTATATAGGTATAATCTTATATAAAATTATATCAAGTGTCACACGGATCTAAGACGTGCACGAGGATGGTTTGTAGTGTATAGCACCTCGATTAGGACAGCCCCAGCGAAGAGGGAACTTCGCTGACAGCCCCTTAAACCACAGATTCCTAAGCTCTAGGCACAAACCAGTACACTTGGCAACATTGTCGCGCGTCACCGCCCGACGTAATGCGCATGCGGAAGCCACAGCCTCCTTGTACCCCTAGTCGCTAGT